GGATAACTACAGTTGCAAAGAGGTCGAGGTCATCTAGCCGAGCCCCCTCCCCTCAGATGGAATAGCCAGAGTTGGGAAGGGACCTTGAGGATCATCCAGTTGAGCCCCCTGCTCAAAAGACGGGATAACTTGAGTTGAAAGGGACTCCCGAGGGCATCTAGCCGAGTCCCCTGCTCAGAAGACAAGAGGTTGGAAGGGACCTCGTCCTCCCCCTTGCCCAGCAGACAGAATAACAAGACTTGCAAGGCGTCAAGGAGGTCATCCAGCCGAGCCCCCCAGCTCAGAAGACGGGGTTTGGAAGAGGCCTTGGAGATTATCTAGTCCACCCTCCGCTTCGAATAACAGGGTGGGAAAGGAATCCCCGAGGTCACCCAGTCCATCCCTTTGCTTAGAAAGACTGAAGAACAGAGTCGGAAGGGGGCCTTGGCAGTCATCTAGTCCAGCCCTGGGACAGATGCTAAATATATGCCTTAATACCCTCCGCAATAAATCTGGTGGCTGGAGCTGCCGGTTGAGATCGTGGGGGTGTCTTTGTGCAGGTGGTCCCAAAGAGCTGAGCGCAACCACCTCAAGAGCTGATGGGCTGCAGAAAAACCAATGAAATATATTCCTGTTGCTGCAGCGGGTTGTTTGCAACAGCTGTTGCATCAACAAGGGCAATGCAGGGCAAGGGAGGCATCCAGACTGACCCCTTCCCCGTTTCCCAGGTTGCACGTGAGAATCTGGCCCCGCTGAACTGACCCACACGCTTAACTGGAGCCGTGGGAAATCCTCAGTTGTCAATATGACTCGTGACACGGCCTCTTGCGTGTTGCGGGAGCATGCAGTAGCACCCTGGAGTAGTTCAAACCTATTTTGTTCTCAGAGGTGGTGCAGAAGAAGGAGAGGAAACCTGAGGATTTGTTGGCTGCGACAGCAAAAAAAAAAAACACACACAAAAAAAAACCCTTCATGTTCTTAACACACTAAATATTTGCTTTGCCTTTTCTGCTCCAGGTTGCTACAAAATCACCACGGTTTTCAGTCACGCCCAGACGGTTGTGTTGTGCGTCGGCTGCTCGACCGTGTTGTGCCAGCCCACTGGTGGAAAGGCAAGGTTGACAGAAGGTAAGCGGGAATCATTCCCCCCCCCCCAGGTGTGTCTCTGGTGTCAGAACTGAGGAAAAACATGGAATTGTAGCCAGGCAGCAGGTTGAGAGTTTTAGGGGTGTCGTCTTTCAATCTTTAGGGGATTTTTTTAGGGGGTGGGGAGGGAAGTGTGTGTGTTTCAACAACATTAAATGCAGAGCAATGTTTGAAAGCCGCTTCCTCCCACTGCAAAACTCTGACTCAGCAGGCTGATTTTGTATAGATGGGGTCATAAGAGATGGATCCAAAAACGTTTTCTCCCCAGAAAAAACAAAACAAAGCAAACATGGCAATTATGGTTATAAGTGCAGACAGTAACAGCTCGTTTTTGCATTTTTTGTTTGTTTGTTCTCCTTGCAGGATGCTCTTTCCGGCGAAAGCAACATTAAACAGTGGACATTTTGGCACGGGATGGGTGGGGAACATGGGAACAGTTGACGGCTGCGACCCTCAGTTTCTCTGGGGCAACGATGTCAGAGTATATTATGCAATGGAGTTGGGGGAAATGTGTAGAGTTATTTTTGAGGGCTTGAGTTGCTACCAGCGGCGGCTATGGGATAAGGGTGGAGGAAAAAAAAACCACTCTTCCCCTTGTGGCTCTGGCGCTGTCCTTGTAGCCTTACCCATTTCATTCAATAAAGTTTGGATATAAAGACAATTTTTGGTTTCATTTTTTTTTGCGGGTTGAGTTGTTGTGGTCTCCACCTGCCCCCCGTTTCTCTCTGCGGGATTCAATTTGGCCCTATTGGGAATCTGGGTTAAAAGGGAGGTTTTCACACCTGGGGGTTAATGGTTCTGTACCGTGGTGGAGGCGAGCGGCGTGGCCTCCCCCTGTAAGGACGACACTGGTCACGTTAAAAACAAAAAAGGTTCACGGGTTTTACTCTCGCCCGCCTTCTTCTCGAAAGTCATCTTCGCACGCTCCACAGCCAGGCCTGGGTCCTGTTCCTGAGGCTGGAAGGCTGGTGCTGAGCGCTCAGAGGAGGGTACAGGTAGCCTAGAATAGAGAAAGGGGGAGAGGGGCTTGAGAAATGACCCCCTCCCCCCCAAAAAACCCTCACCCCTTATTTCTCCTCTTCTGCCAAAAGGAAACCGGGTGAGCCAAAACTTGGCAAACCTTTAAGACTTGTGGACTTCAACTCCCAGAAATATGCTGGCTGAGGAATTCTGAAGTCCACTGGTCTTAAAAGTTGCCAAGTTTGGGGACCCCTGGGGTAAGCACTGAATCGGACCCCCTGGCTTCCCGTTGGAAAGGTTTTTTTAGGAAAGCTGAAAGGGGTGAATTTTCAGGACTCGAGGATCCTGCCGCCTGCTGGCTTTTCAAAACACACACACACCCCCAAAAAGGAGAATTGGGGTTGCATTCTGGACCAGGCTGGTTGTGGAGACTCACCGTCCTGCGTTGAGGCCGACGGGATGTAGACCACTGGGACGGTCTGGACCCTGTTCAGGAAGGCATTGTAAACTGCGGGGAGAGGAGAGAAAGCGGGTTGGATCCAGGCTTGAACCGGCTTGGGGGGTGGGGAATATAGGTAGTCCTTGACTTACAATGGCTTGGTTAGTGACCGTTGGAAGTTGGAAAAAAAGGGGGGGCTGTTTTTCACACGACCCGTTGAGACCTCTCCGGAGGGTCGTGTTGTGAGCAAAATTCGGGCCATTTGGCAACCGACTCGTATGTATGACGGTTGAAGTGTCCCCCTTTTGCGACCACCTGACAAGCAAAGCCAATCGGGGGAAAAAGGCCGATTTCGCTTCACAACCGCGTGACTGACTGAACAACTGCAGGGATTCACTTAGCAGACATGTCAAGAAAGGCCGCAAAAACGGGGCCAAGCTACTCTTGACAAAATGTCTCACGTAGCGACATACATTTTGGGCTCGATTTGTTGTTGTGAGTTCCCTCTGATTGAACACCAACCCTGGAGGTTTTTAAGAAGTTCGTCTGAAACTCTCTAGGGGCCTCCTCCTGCTTCAGCAGTGGGTTGGGCTAGAAGACCTCCCAGGTCCCTTCCGGCTCTGCAATTCTACAAAACTTGGGGTAGACTTTGAACCTAGCGCCCCCCATCCAGCGGCTTAAGGGGAGCCCGAGTCCGGCTCAAACGTGCTGGGACTCACTGAGGAAGATGACCATGGTGGACGCCAGGACGGCGAAGACGGTGAAGAGGAGGACCTGGTAGGAGCCCACCAGCTGCCGGACGAGGCTGGCCTCGGCGCAGAGATCTAGGCGTGTGAAGGCAAAGACCAAGATGGTTGGGTGGTGGCCTTCTCGGGGCCACCCCCCCCCCAAGAACCACGCCAGCTCTCTGCCAACCGTCGGTTTTCCCTTCGCGCTCACCAAAGCCGAGAGGTTGCTCCTGCTCCGGCCGCACCAGGACAGCCGCCCGCTGGCCGGTGAGGCTGCAGGAGAGGTTGACGAAGACCGGTGCTGCCCTCCGGTGGAGGGAGGTGAGGTTGACCACACGGACGGCGAAGAGGACAAGCCCGGGCATGTCCGGGAGGAGGAGGGGGGCGTCCACTTGGACCACAGGAGACGTGGGATGAGCCTTGGCAGGGCGGGAGGGGAGGGGGGAAAAAAAACAGCTCCTGAGGGGGGGGGGGGGGGTGTGGGGGGGGGTGAGAGGGGGAGAAAGTTCCAGAAAATAAACAACCTTTAAGAGAGGAGAAGCCCATCAAAACTGGGCCCTTGAACCTTCAGGTCTGTGGACCTCAGAAGGCGACCAATTTAGCTCAGGGTTTCTCAACCTTGTCCACTTTTTAAGATGTAGGAAGTGAGCACCCACCCCTCTCCTAGAAAAAATGAAATATCCTAGGAAATATTTAAAAAGGCAGAAATATTTCCCCTAAAGAGAGAAGTAGAAACTCAGCCCTCCTCCACCTTGGCTAATGGGCCATTACTCTGGCCTGGGACAGCCTATTCTACATAACAAAGATTTACTCCAGGTAGAGGCTATAATAATAGGAATCGCACAAAAAAGCCCTTTTCATGACATCATCCTCCAGCAAAGGCTCAACCAAGATCCTGTCCACCATTAAACCATTTTTTCAAACAGCCTCCCATGTTTTTCCAGCGTCTTTCTTCCCCACTTGGAACCGAACCCAGAAAGATAATTCTTCCGACGCGTGGAAGATTCCGGCATCTCACTTTGCGTAGGGTCACCCCTTTGCACCTACAGACTCACACCTGTCTCCTGTCCTCCAGGTCTAGCTGGCTCCTGGAGGTGCAGATCCACCTGGAAACCACCTGGCTCTTCCACTGAGACCCATTTAAATTTAGACATTTAAATTTCTTGTGTGTGTGTGTGTGTGTGTGTGTGACTTGGCAACTTTACCTCGATGGCTTCCGTCACCCTCCTGGCCCCCAACACCAAGATTTCACTGGTCGTCTGTGAGCTGCTCAGGACAATCTCGCTCTGGTTGAGGAAGAAGGCGGGCCAAAACGGAACCGTGACCCGGTTTCGGGTTTCTGGGCTTCGCTCGCTGCGGAGAGCGGCGGAGACGTCCACGAAGCCCTCGGCCGTGCTGAGGGCCAGCAGGTCCTCCTCGGGGTGGCCTTTCACCGTCACCAGGCAAGCGTAGAGCCCTGGAGGGGGCAGCCGGAAAAGGAAAGAGACGCTTTTCAAACGCGCCTTTCGGAAACGCCTGGATTCCACCAGGCTTGGCCGGAAAGAGACCCCGGAAATGGAGTTTCACGGGGGGTGAGCCTCCTCGGAATCAGGAAGCTGGGCAGCTGGTGGGCTGAAGTCCACAAGTCTTAAAAGTTTGCCAAGTTTGGGGACCCCTGCTCTACGTCCTCAAAAGCTCCCGCCCATCCCTGGTCCCTGGAGTTGAAGTCGGCCCCACGTGGAAGGCATCGCCCCCCCCCCCCCCCACCCCCCCACCTGGGAAGCAAGGATGAAACTGGGTTCTCTTCCGGCCTACCTTTATCTGGGTAAAATGCCGGCTGGATGTGAAATATTTTGCTGGCTGGAATATCCAGGATGCTGGGGTTGAAATCCAGCTGGCAGATCAGCTGGGATTCTGGAGAAAGCAGGTCGGTGATGGCCTCAATTTGCTCAGAGCCACAAGGACCTAAAACAAGACAAGAGGATGTGTGTGAATTTAGGGGTATCTATCTATCTATCTATCTATCTATCTATCTATCTATCTATCTATCGTGTATCTATCTATCTATCTATCTATCTATCTATCGTGTATCTATCTATCTATCTATCTATCTTGTATCTATCTATCTATCTATCTATCTATCTATCTATCTTGTATCTATCTATCTATCTATCTATCTATCTATCTATCTATCTATCTATCGTGTATCTATCTATCTATCTATCTATCTATCTATCTATCTATCTATCTATCTATCTATCTATCTATCTCTCATCTACCTACCTACCCCTATCATCCATCTATCTATCTATCTATCATCTAAATCCAGACACAACATGAACCCCCCAATTACTTCATATTTCGCTTCTGTCTTTCCAGGGAAGCCTCAGGAGCCCGGGGAGAGTGAGACACCCCCCCCCCCCCCGCCGTGGTGCAGGAGGCTGACTAGGCCACGCCCACCCATCCACCGGGCAGAGAACTGCTTGCTAACATTTTTTTGGAAGCCCAACCCTGCCGCGTCTTCTACCTTGAAGAGTGGCTGGGCCGCTTGTGGAGATGAAAACCCGGAATTCGGAGGCGTTGGCAGCGTTGGTGAGGAAGTTTTTGGGCCCAAGTTGAAGGCGGAGTCTCGGCGGGCCATGAACGACAACCTGGGGAAGGACAGAGGAGAGAAGAAGACGGGGAAGAAATGTTTTTTTTAAAGAAAATAATACAATGAACTGGTCTCCAGAAGCTTGTTTCCGAACTCAGAAATACTATTAAAATGAGAAAAAACAAAATTTAAGGAGGAAATTTTCAGACGGTGAGAGCAATTATCTCAGTTGCCTTCAGAAGTTTTGTGAGCTTCATCCCTGGAAGCTTTCCAGAGGAAGACGGGACTGCCACCCGTCAGAAATGAGGTAAAGGTCCCCTGCTTGGGCTGGGGTTGGACTAGATGATCTCCAAGGCCCCTTCCAACTCTGTTAAATCGGCATCTATAAAATGAGGTCTTAATTCATATTACGTTGCAAACACACACACGACGCTTCTACCTCTCGGTACGTTTTCACTATCCCCGGGATTTCGTGGAAGACGGTGGCTTTTCCCGGGTGTTTTGCGAAGGTCGCTCCGCTCACGACGTCCATCTCCAGCACGTCGCCAGGGCTGACCTGCCAAGTGCCAGGTTCTCCTAAAAAGAAAAAGTCCTTTTCTCTTTTTATAAATTTTATCAATTTTCTATTCATTTACATTTCTTAGCGCTTAATAAACACGGCCCCATAAATCCCTTGGGTGGTGGAATCAGGGGCTGAGTGTTTTACTGGCCGGAGGCCTTTCCTTGTTGCCAGTGCGGAGTTACATTTCAAGCAGATAATGTTCTCGTTGTGCCCGGAGAGAGAAAGATCTGCCTCTGTCTAGAACCGAACTCACAGCTCCTGATTGTGAGGCGAGAACTCCACCTTTAGGCCCCCGCACCACTCAAGGACTGCCTCTGTAACGCAACTGGGAGTAAGGAGGCAGGGGTTCTTCTTGGAGAGTGAGGATTGTCTCATCCTTGCTGACGTCCTCTTCTTTCTC